ACGATTAAATGTTTAACAATCTATACAAATCAAATTACAAAACACAACATTATCCCAAATAAAACTACGACTTACTAATGTCAAACTATTATATTAAACACCCCTAGCGTAAGATACTCAATTTCAAATTAAAAATGAGTTGAGTAATAAGATTTAAAGAGGAGTAATTATCCTTCTCCGTATGGTCTACTCATTGTCTCCTGCATTAAAATTTTGCAGTACTAAAAATGATACCCTGAAGATAGTGTGGCTGAAACGGCTCCAATATATTAAACCCTCACATGCCACAATCTCTTTCAAGTTCCTCTCCATAATTAAACATCTAACACCTCCATAAAGAATTCCCATTCAATTTTCTTATTCATTTCAAGATTTCCATTCAAATTTTAAAACACTACCATCAATTTAAATTCACCTAATACACCACACGCATCCTCTAATTTTCAACCCCTCCACCGGTGCAGTCTTCAGCCGCTCACCAGACCTCCAGTTCCTCTCTTATTCAAATTTTAAACCACCCCCAACAAATCATTTTTTTAACCCTAATTAATTCCTCCATTTCATTAGCTCGGCTGTTTGTTTTGTTCCTCTGTGATCTCAATGAGCCGTGGAGGAAAAATTGACTAATCATAGTTACATCCATTCTTTTCAAAAAAACATCATAACTCCCTCTCTCTTATTAATTGCTACCCCCTACTCCAATCCTCTACCTCTGTCTTTATATACCAAAATAGAGATTCAAATTCTCACTGTTACTCCCATTTGCAGAACAACCCTTTTCCTCAAGATCTTCTGCAGAGATACTGTGAGGAAAAAGGGTATACGGTAACTGGAAGATCTTTATCTTGACCCAAACAGAGAAAGAGAAGTTTCAGCCTTCTTTTCTTTGACCCCTAGTGGACAAAGGGTAGCTATAAAAATCCAACCTTTTGTTCTCTTGATTTAATGCAAAGTTGTACCCTTTATGTAACTTTGTGAAGAATTTTTTTTTTCTTTTTGGTAAAATTATGCGGAAATTGAAAAAGGTTTTTTGTTTGTTTGAGATTTTGTTCCAAAAAAATTGAAGATTTATGAGAAGGAATGTAGGGATTTTCTTTATTCACGGGTATCTTTTAATTTTTTTTTTTTTTTTTGTAGTACACATTGCTCCACAAAGTTGGAGAGAGAAAGTTGAGAGGGAGAGAAACTGGTGCTTCTTTTGAATTTTGAGAAGGTGGGGTGAAGGTTTGTTCTTTCTCTCTGTGATTGGTATTCTCCTCGCCTTAAATTTCTCATCTTTTGTGCTTTCTTTTGTCTCTAATTCTTGTTCTGTCTTTGTTTTGAATTTTTGAAACCCTACATTATGCCCAATCATGTAATCTTTTTGTGACATCTTTGTTGTCCTGTTATGCAGTTTTTCACGAGGTTATGTCAGAATTTTTTTCTGTTCAAAAAACTCAAGAAAACCCCAATCTCTATCCATTGTATTTTTAAGGTTTTGATTCCGTAATGTTACTGTTCTCCTCGCTTCTCCATTTGCAACTTGTAAAGATTCTAGATATGTCTTGCAGACCTTTTTCCCTCCATTAATCTCCACCGCGGTCTTTGGTTTTTGCGGAGTTTTGAAACTCATTTTATATCCCTTTTTAGCTTTTTCTTGGATTTCACTTTCTCTTTTTGAAGCCTCTGTTTCAACTTTTTAGTACCAAATAGTAACCACCCACTTGGGTATATGATTCAGCGCTTGGCATTTTTGTTTCTCTCTATGAAGATTTACTCAGTCCTTGTTATTCTTCTTTAGTTTTGTTCCTTCAAATTTAGGGAGAGAGACAGAAATGCAGCTGATTTTCTGGGATTTTCTGTAAATCCAAACACTCTTCTTACTCTGTTTCTCTCTGCTTTTTTGCTACTGCAAATCCTGTACAGAGATGGGTAAGGCTACAAGGTGGCTAAAAGGGTTGTTGGGTATGAAAAAAGAGAAAGAGCAAAGAGAGAATCCAAAATCAATTTACAACGACAAGAAAGAGAAGAAAAGATGGAGTTTTGCTAAGTCCGGGAAGGATGCCAATGTCCTTTCTCAGATTCCAGTGAACATTCCAGTGACTGATGCAGCTTGGTTCAGATCCTACTTTGCTCAGAGTGAGAAGGAACAGAACAAGCATGCAATTGCGGTGGCTGCTGCCACCGCAGCTGCAGCTGATGCCGCTATGGCAGCAGCGCAGGCAGCCGCAGCAGTGGTGAGGCTGACCAGCAATGGAAGAGGGACATTCTTCAGTGGAGGCCCCGAAAGATGGGGGGCCACGAAAATTCAAGCTGTTTTTAGAGGCTACTTGGTAAGATTGCAATTCTATAGAATTTCCCCTTTTCTTTCAAATATATTTTGTGTGTATACTCTGATTCTCATGACATCTTTCCAGGCATATCTTGTCTGGTATTTGGTTTTTGTTATGAAATTTGGAAGTACTTGCCTTGTTTCTTACTTCTGTGTCTTCTTCTCCTAAAAGTTGGATTCATAGATTCAAATGGTAATGAAACGGTGCATATGTTTTCATGTTGGTTGGAATCAGTAAATGCTATCCACATTCTCATTAGCGAAGAATTAGTCTGATTTACACTGAACTGCAACAACACCATTCTTAGATGAGTTAAACTCACACAGTGTATCACTCATCTACAGGTCTAGATTTTAGAGTCCAGTTTCTATTTGTCTATTCCATATGTAGTCCAATTTGGTTTTTTTTTTCAGGCCAGAAAAGCACTTAGAGCTTTAAAAGGACTTGTTCGGCTACAAGCTCTTGTTAGAGGTTATCTTGTACGAAAACGGGCAGCTGCAACTCTTCATAGCATGCAGGCTCTTATAAGAGCACAAACAGCCGCCCGATCTCAGAGGATTCACCGGCCTTTCAAGGAGAACCGGTATCAACCTGAATTCCGCACCCGCAAATCCGTTGTAAGTGCCAAATTTGCAATGCCAATAATTTATGCAATATTCAATCGAAGAAATGGTCACAATGTTAATGAGTTTTTGTGGTATGCCCGTTTTCAGGAGAGATTTGATGATACGAGAAGTGAAATTCAGAGTAAGAGGTATTCTGCATCAGTTGAATATGATGACAGCCCAAAAATAGTCGAAATTGACACATACAAGCCTAGATCAAGGTCTCGACGGATGAACAATGTTGCCTTATCCGAATTGGGTGATGACTTTCCTTACCAAACAATCTCATCTCCTCTTCCATGTCCAGTTCCGGGAAGAATATCAGTTCCAAGTTGCCAAAACCTTAATGATTACGAGTGGTGCTTCACGGGTGAGGAATGTAGGTTTTCAAGTACCGCTCAAAACACCCCACGTTTTGCGAATTCTGGCAGGTATAATGCTCCTACTACCCCATCCAAGAGTGTCTGCGGAGACTGCCACTTGAGGTCCTACTCTAATTTCCCAAACTACATGGCAAACACACAGTCCTTTAATGCCAAATTGAGATCTTACAGCGCACCAAAGCAGAGACCAGAGCCAGGGGCTAAGAAGAGGCTCTCACTCAATGAAATAATGGCATCGCGAAACAGTCTAAGTGGAGTAAGGATGCAGCGGTTGTGTTCTCAGCTTCAAGAAGTTCTGAATTTTTGAGTACTTGTTTCTGTGATGCCCTCTGTATTTTAGTAGGAAACTGCAAGTTGACTGTAGGAGATGATCGAAGAAACAGAGTATCTACAAGTTTTCTTTCCCACTATTTTAGTGTTAACAAGCTACAGGGTAGAACGAGCTTTGTGTAAATTCTTCGTTGTCATTTTACCATGCTTTTCCAATTAAATGAAGCCTTTTTAAATTTATGTAGTTTTCCTTCTGTTTTTTGAATATTGCATTGTTGAGCTATGCATGATGGTTGTCCCCAGCAACCTATTTTTAACATGAGCATTGGACTTTTGGTCTAAGCTTTCTCAGAATTCTATAAGTCTCTTATTCTACAATTTGATTTTTTTTTTCAATATTTTGTAAGTCTTTTGTTTTATAATCTAGTGTATTAAATTGTAAAATATTAATTATCGAATAAGAAAACTCCAGAACTCATTATTCATTAATGGTTATAATGGTTATAGTTATGCGATTAAGACAATTTAAACTGCATAGTACAACTTCCATTTTATAAATGGGGTGCTGCTTGTAAATTTAAAGTTGTTACAAAAGGAAATAAAACCAGCAAAATCATAGAAAGAATGGGTTTGTTCAAGAAATTGAAGGAATAGAGGCAGAATTAGTGGCAAGATAATGTGAAGGGTGGTCACATGACAAGTGCTTTTTGATTTTTCCCAATTTTTGTGATTTTTTTTTTTTTTCTAATAGCGCCCAAGGTGTTTAGGTTGTTTCTGTGAAACGTTGGAGGTTACTTGTTTTGTATAATAAGAATTTCAATAGCTCACATTAACTTTAGTTTTTTTACTAAGGCTTATATGATTTATTTTTAGGTACATAAAGATTAAAGATTAATTTTTAAATTTATAACTAAAAACATAAATAATTTTATTATTAAATTACATGACTAATGATACTTATGTAATTATGGGAATGATTTAACATTTTTCTTTTTAAATCTTTAATTCTATTTCACACTTTTATTTTCAAATCTCTATTTCTATTTCAAAATTCAAATTTGAGGCTCTTAACTACTACTAAGACATAGTCAACCATCCACAAGAATTTTATCTTTTATTAGTCATGCAATAAATCATGATCAACGGTCAACCCATAAAGTAGAGAAGTTTCATTTGTAAACCCATGTGTTGATTGGTAATTTACTTGCATAAAAATAAAAAAAAAATAGATAAAAAATAATTAAATGGTTAAAAAACATAACCTAATAACCCAACTTGTCGGAGCCAAACTTAGGTGATAATTATCAATAATTTTATTAAGATAATTAATTTTGACTTTTATTAGAATTATTAATTATAATTGTAATTTTATTAATTTATAATTTTTTTTGGGCTTTTTGTTTTTAACTTTTTTGTTTTTTAAATATATATTAATTTTAATTTATTAAATAATAAATATTAATTATTTTTAATAATTAATTTGAAATAAAATTTTTTAATATTTTAGTAATTCTAACAAAATTAATGGTCTCCATGCCCCCATCCTGCATTTGCTTCTACTAATTTTAAGTATTGTTTGTGTGGATTTTGTTTGTAGAGACCTGAGAAGTACTTAAATGGATAATTTTGTTTATTAGTAAGAGCAAGCAGGAAGATTTCAAAGTGTAGACTGTGTAAAGTGTGTTATGTTCTGAATTCATTTCTAAGTAGCAATGATTAGTACTTTAGTAGTTGATTTGATTGATGGGTTTGGGTTTAAACTTTGAAAATGGTGCAACTGTCATCAACTTCGGCATAGACCCCCACATGCTAGATCTTTTTCAATTGTTGGGAAAAAAAAGGCATAATTATTTTTAGGGGGCCAATATTGATAATTGTGCATCCCAGTCTTTGACTACATCATTATCCCCCCTTCCCCCTACCCTGCATTATGCCATTATCCATGGAGATGATGTGTGGTTTCACTGCAATGTCTCATAATACCATGATAACGCCACGGCCGCCCGCTTGGCGCTTGCTCTTAGTTTAAATTTTTTTAATTTTAAATTATATAATAAAAATAATTCTCTCTTTATTTTTTTAATTTAATTTATTTATATATTATATAATTTAAATTTAAAAATTTTTATTTTGAATAAAAAAATTTATTATTAAAATTTTTAAATAATTAACAATTAAAATTTTTTCTTTTAATTTAAATGATAAATTATTTTTAAAGTGGATCAAAAAGTTTGCAATTAAAACAAGTTAAATTAACTAAAATTATAATCAATGGATTCGGTTACTTCGTGTTTTGAGTTTTACTATATTATAAGAAGTAGGGATTACGCAATAGAAAATTTTCTTGCATTGTTTTACTTTTCATTCCACCTAAACAAGGACGGACCGACGGAGGATACGAGAGGCTAAGGGGAGTTATGGCTCCCAAAAATTTTCAAATTTTTCGTATTCTTGTAGATTTTTTGTATGTTCTTTCTTTTAAATTTTTTTTGAAAATTTTGTTTAGAATTTT